TGCAGCAGAGGGGGAGAGGAAGGGCCCTGTTCCCAACAGGTCGGCATCACCATAGGGTTATGGTCAGCCCTGAGAGGCTGTTGGAAGATGCACGTCCGCTCCCAGACCTTCCCCATCCCTCCTGGAGAGGTGGCACAGGGCTGCACACACCTGCCCAACAGCACTGCGCCCGTTCACGTGTGCCCAACGGCCACCTCTGCTCCCCACGAGCTGCTATTTCCCCTCATTTCCCAGCACGTACAAGAAATGCTTAAATGCTTTTTTTTTTTTTTTTTTTTTTGAGACTTTCCCTCAACCGCAGGGCATATCTGGAAGCCTCATCTAACGGTGACGTCAACCCCGGCCTGTGCTCCTCCGGCTGCACCAGGGCTGGGGGAGCAGCCCCACGCCGTGCTCCCCGACATCCCCACAGGCTGAGGGAGCAGCTCCCTGCCCCACGCCGTGCTCCCCGATGTCCCCACAGGCTGGGGCTTACACCAACGACAGCATCATGTGCCATAACTTGGCCCGAGGCCTGTGCTGCCCTCGGAGATGCCGAGTGGGAAAGAGGTCTCCGGGCACAGGCGGACACTGGTGGTACAACAGCCTCAGAGCAGAGGTGTGAAGCAGCAGCAGCCTCGGACCACGCTCACGGCTTCAGCTCCTGGAGCTCCCACAGATGGGGGGTGGTCACCCTCAGGACCACCACATTGTTAAGTAAGTCATGATCTGGGACGACAAGGTGGCCCTGGCCGAGATTGTGCCAGGTGAGGGTAGCATCCAGTCCTGACCTACAGCAAGCAAATGATTGTCTCATCATGGAGACCAGGAAAGTAACCCCTCCAACAGAGCCATTCTCGAAGGGCCACCAGGTTTAGGGGGGCTTTTTGGACCTGCCAAGGAACAGAGCACAAATTAATTTCACTTGGTGGTTGTTCACTGTCATCAGCAAGGTTACTAGTTAGCACCTGGCTCTGAAGTCTTACTCATGGTTAAGCTGGGGAGAATGGGGGTGATTTTCAGATCCCAGCTCCACCCTGCAGCACTGGCGGGAAAAAATCCTGCTCCGAGATGCAAATGAAGCACATTTGGTACTGGAGCCACTGGTTACGCATGGATGTCATCCCTCAAAAGCAATTCCTGCAGTCAGCCTGAGCACAGCCACGCTTTGATGCGAGCACACTGCAAAAATAGAGGGGCACTGACTGAAGATCTTGTCTCTCCCTCCTTTAGGAAATTGCAAACTTCCATTTCTTTAATCTAATCATTTGCAGGAGGAGATATTTTCTCTAGAAAAGCCAATATAAGAGGGCTGAAAGGTCGGATGGGATAATATGTAATCCATTGCGATAAGGGCTGTTTACAGAATTATTAATCAAACACAAAAGGGAACAGATAGTAACATTTTTTATTAAATATTACAGTGGATCAAAAAGTACAAAATATCTTTTGCCTGCTATGTGATTGGGAAACTATTGGCACATAATACAGTATCAAAAGCATTAATAAGTACAATTTGGAAAACATACAAAAATTGAGTGTTTATAGTTGGCTCAGCTTTATTTCTGGTAGTGTTTAAACTAACGCAAAGGTTACTCAATAACCTTTTAAATGGGAAACTATATAATATTACTGGGCCATTTTTATATATACAAATCATCACCTTACAGAGCATATAGGCTACATAACTTGAATCACAAAAAGTATACAATATTTACAACAAAAGAAAGTTAAAAAAGTATAAACAGCTAGTAGATTACGCTGCCATTATTAGAACATATTTAAAACTGCGGGGCTGGGGGGAGAAGGGGGGAGGAGGAAGAGAACGAGCGGAACATCAACCACGTGTACAGCAAACACCGCAGGAAGCGCTGCCGATGCCGCCCGCCTTGCACCAGCGCAACAAGTCCCATCGCCCCTTAAAAAAAATAAAAATCACCAAAATTGCAAAACCGGAGCAGATGCCACCTTGCTGACCACCACAACGGCCAGGACCAGGCCCCTTAAAAAAAATAAAAATCACCAAAATTGCAAAACCGGAGCAGACCTTGCTGACCACCACAACGGCCGGGACCAGGTGGGGGCGAACGGCCAGGGGACCCCGGTGGTGGTCTCTGGAGGTGGTAGCCCCCGCGTCCCCCAGCTCGGGCCGAGGTGCTGGCGCAGGCTGCCAGCTCCAGGGCTGCAAATCCCACTTCTCTGCAGCTGGGACAGGCTTATCCTCCCAGGCAGCGGCACGCCGGGCAGACTTCTCGTGTCGGGGCAGCAGGCAGAGCACGGGCTCCTTCCCGCCCAGCACCGCTCGGGGTTGGGATTTCACTGGGAGCCAGGCCCCGCTCCCCAGCCCGTTCCCAAAGTCCGGCTCAGCGCGCGGCCAGAAGCTCCACGCGAGCCGTTTGCTGCCGGGCCTTCTCCTTTGAATCTCACAACCTTTAGCATCCCTAATGAATCCTGGACATAGTGCGTTTGGATTGCAACATTTCTTGGAACTCACTCCTGGTAAATAGATTTATGACTCTATTGCCAATTAGATTCCACAGTTTCCTTTACAAACCTACCAATAACAATGGTTTGATTGCACAAAGAAAGGCTTGTGCAATTTCATTCAATAATAAGGCCCCTTGAACTCAAACAATGCAAACAAAGCCCCATTTAAGACATTTAAAAAAAAAAAAAAAAAAGACTTTTCAGCCGATGGAGAATTCAATAGTCTTTTGAAACATTTCCAAGATTTCTGTTAAGAGTTTTTAAACAAATAATGCGCCGCTTCTGTTGGGGATTTAAGCTACCATTTCTTTTCCTTGGCCCCGATGTTTGCACAGTATATTATGAGCTTCCCCAGCCAGTGGCGGCCAGTCTCCTCTCCTCTCCTCGCGGGGCACAAGCGAGGAGCCTTCCTCCCCTCTCCCTGTCCCCAGCCCCGCGCTGTCCCAGCACGGCTCTCAAAAGGCTCTGAAAAGCCACCGAATTCCAACGGGACGTAACCAAAAGGGAACGCGGACACTTGGCGTAAACAAACGCACGACTCCAGGACACACAGCTTCACCCACACGAGGAAGAGAAGCGGTTGCTTCACCAAACACACGACAAGCTTCTGTTTGCATTTTGCTGTAGATTTTCATATTCTCTCCCCTTCCCGCCCCTCCCCCCCACCCCTTTCCCTCCCATCCCCAAACCCCTGATTCTCATGTGATTCAGATCTAGTGCAACTTTGCTGGAGATGTCCTCCACACTGCGGCCTCTGCCCGGCTGAGCCTGCGGGTTTCTCTCCTGTACGATCTGTGGAGCAGCAGGATGCTCTGCACTGGCACATCCATGTTCTAAGTTCTACTAGTCTGTTTATCGATCAATTAAATATAGTTTTACCACAGGAATATAAAGTATTTAATTGAAGAAGCTGGATCTTTAACAGTAGACGAGTATATTATTCTGTTTTCCACCTTTGGATATTAAGTATGATACATTATATATTGTATTTGGCTTCATATCACGGGAAAATTTAATGACATGCCTAGCATGCAAAGTGTTTCTTAGTAGTTTCCATTTTTCTTTTCGTATCGATTACGCTGTCTTTGAACAGTAACTGAGATGGTTTGAATCACAACCAATTTTCACATTGTAAAAAGCCTCCAAGTCACACTTGGCTTTATCGATGTCTACGCTCAGCTGCGCGGCGGCGATGTCCTGCAAAGTGAACACACATCCATAGGGAAGCTCTTTCATCAGGAAAACCCAGCCCCTCCGTGTCCAGGCTCTCCCCCTGAGCACGGATGCCCAGGGAGAGGCTGAGATCCCCGTGGGGGTGTGGAAGGACCATCCCGACCACCGCACGTAACCCCCTACCCATCTTACCAAACCAGCCTGCTCCCGAGGCACCGGCCCTGTAAGCCTCTGATCCAAATCAACATTGGCTCCTGTCCTAATTTCTGAAATTCTCAACATTCTCGCAAACTACAAATCCATTTTCTGGACTCCTTTGTCATCCGGCAGCTTGTGCCAGGGAGGTTTTGTTTTCTAGACCATTTCTCTGGTAGGCAGGAGGGTTTCACAGCCTAGGTAAGGTCAAGTACAACGCTCGACAAATTCACGGCCCAAGAGAGGGGAAAGCAAAGCTCGGTGGGAGGGGAGAAGCGGAGGAGCCATCGCAAGGAGAGGAGGAGGGCGGGAGGTGCTCAGCACCTCGAGGGGCGGACCACGGGCAAAAGAGAACCTTGTTTGCATCCTTGCACCATATCACCTACAGTATGTTTATAACCATTAAGATTAATCTGAACCAGTTGCTTCAGTTTGTAAACAGTAAACGTTACCACAAAAATGAAACAAAAATGCTGCTCAGAAGTATAAAGAAACCGGAAAAATTACAAACACGTGAAAAAAAAAAAAAAATAGGACAGCCACAGCCTTTAAAAAAAGTTGCAGGTAAAATGATACTGTTTAATTTAAAAAAAAAAAGAAACCCAAAACAAAAAAAAACCAAACATAAAGAGCACAGAATATACTGGACAAACAAAACTATATAAATTATTGTGACCAAATGTGACACTGGTAGTTTACGAAGTGGATATGTACAGTCAAATTAAACAGTGTTTACCCTTCTGTTCTAATAGTGTTAAAATGAAAAAAAAACTATTGCCGTTTTACTATACATTGCATTGATTGAATCATTAAAAGTCAGGAAAAGTTACCCAAAAAAAAAAAAAAAAAGCACATCCACTGATTGTACGGATTCTCGGCCCGCTTCTCCTTCCCAGGGTCATCTGGAGTCTGTGACTCATTTGCAACAACGCGCGGCCCCTGGTCCTCGGCTCAGTGACAGGCAAAGGCAGCCCCCACCTGGGACTTCAGTGAGCTCAGGACTGGGCCCGCGTTTCCACGGCTCCCTTTGAACATCTGCTCTTACCATGTACAAGTCCTTTCAGAAAACACATATGCAAAAATCCAATGATTTTTTTTTCTTTTCTTTTTTTTTTTTTCTTTTTCTTTTTTTTTTTTTTTTAATGTTTGGTTTTCTTTTTTTGCAGGGGCAGGAATGAGGGGTGAGGGGGCTGATGTGGGAGCCAGAATTAAAGAAGCAGTCCTGTCTCCATCGAACTCTGAAGCGCGCCTCTAGGCGGGATACGACTGCGTCCTGGATGACAAAAATACACGTCGCTAAATCTGTGAGACACCGTCACAGGGGGAGGAATGTCGCTAACTTAACTCTTCTCCTCAGACCTTTCTTTTTTTTTTTTTTTTTTTTTTTGTTGTGAGCGAGGGATTCTACAGTTTTGTGCTGGGATGTACAGAGGATAGCTGGGAAGGTGGGAAGGCGGCTTGAGGGTTTATAGCAGCTAAAGGATAAATGCTGTTATGCAAAAGGTCACCGTAGGAACTTCCTACAGGTGTTGCTGCAGCTAAGTGTCTGTACAGTTGCTGAGAGTTTGCAGGGGACGTGAGGAATTGTCTCTGCACCATGAAGGAGTGAAGAGCCAAAGGCTGCATTAGTGGGGAGAGCACGGTCTGGTTTTTCAAGTACTGCAGGGGATGAGAATACCCAGGCGGGAGGCGATTGTTCAGCCCCGTGCACAGGCTGCCCGGATACAAGCCTGGGAAGATGGGGGCTGAAAGGGGGAATTTGTGGCTTTCCAGCATGCTGCCAGAGTGGAGGCCGTGCACCGGCTTGCTGCCTTCCCCCTCTGGGTCGGGACCCTTGTCTTTCGCTGAAGTCTCCTTTGGTAAGTGCAGAGGAGAGACAGCTCGGATTTTTTTTTCAGAAATGACTTTGTCCAAATCCTCCAGGCTCCGTTTCAAAGGCCGGGCAGCCCCCACGTTCTGAGGGCTCGTTCTGCGACTGATGATAGGATGCACCATCCCCTCCATCTTCCTCAGGTTCTCCAGCCTCTGGGCCTGCTGCTTCCCAGACCTGTGGAGCAACTCGCTGTGTTTTTTCGGGGCCGTCATGGCCATGGGGGACACGCGGCAAGCTTTGGGGTTACAGTCTAGGCTCACGGCCTGGCTGCTCGCAGCCTGGAACGGGGAGAGGCCTTTGCCTTCTTGCTGGGCCATGGATGAATGAGGGAGGCTGGAGCCCGGAGCCTTTGCAGTCTGTTTGTGTATGCTCTTTGGAAGACTCAAATCTGTTGGCTGATCATCTGAAGAGGCCTCCACTGCTGCCTTTTTTTCTTGCTGATGCAAAGATGGGCGGTAATTTAAATTTAGTTTTTCTTGGTGTTTGTGTTGAGTAAAAGTAGAAATATTTTCAGACTCTCTGAACATGTCCCGGGGGAGGTACTTTGATGTCTGTTCATTATTAAGGTGGTGTTCTGTGTGCCTATAGAGGCTGTGCAGATGAGGTGATGAATAAAAATCTGCCAAGAAGGTGGGCACATGGGAGTGCTGCAGTGCCCTTTTCTCACTAATTTTATCTTTGCAGTCATGGATATCCGTCTTCGGTACGTACGACTCGGCAAGAGAACTGAGGTGATGCTTTGAAAAATCACAGCGCTGAGGATCCGGTTTACTTAGCATGTCGTGTTTAAAAACGTCATTAATTGATTTCCTTTCTTCCTTGGTTTTAAAACTCTGGACATGTTGTATGACTGAGGGCCTGTTAATTGCTACAGGATCAGAATTAGGGGCGTGGTGACCTTGTGATATGCTTGAGGACAGCTCATCTCTGCTGTTCAGCTTCTTTTTGCTGATCAAAGGTGGAGGAGAACCGTAAGGATAGCTACACGACAGGGCTGCCCCACTGACCTGCGACAGCAGCTTCTTCTTTGCCAGGGGTGACATGATGCCTGGGTTACCCTTGGAGTAGAGCAGTGGCGTGTAACCAAAACTGGAGTCATCATTCATGGACCCAGGTAGCTCCTTTTCCTTGAACATGTCGAAGTTCTGGACCACCAGTACTTTGGGCGTTTGCTTTAGTGCGTTGTGGATATCTTCATTTCCCAGCTGGTCCACTTTCACCGTGCAGTTTGCGATGTAATCGGCCATCTCTGGCAGTTTGTCATCTTCCATGTCGCTCTGAGGGGGCAGCTGGACTGGGAAGGCTGTGAAGGGCATTTCTGGAGGTTCACTTTCTAAGCTGTCAGTGAAAGCTTTGTGTAGTCTTTGTTCAGGCTTTGTGTCTTCCAGGGCATCTGCTGGGGGATGTAATCGTTTCGTGACGGTGGCATCCAGCACGGTGTCTTCTTCTGGGGGCACGGATATACTTGAGAAAGAGGATGAGTGCTGAACCTCCTCCTTGGCTTTCTCACTGTTCGTGCTGTTTTCTGCCAGGTCTGTCTTTTCCAGAGGCAGTGGCCGAGCTGTCTCTGGTAAAAGAGATGGAGGGCCTTGCACGGGCTGTTTCATCTCTCCCACTGTAGGATGTTCAGGGAAATTTTTCTGGTCTGCTGATTCTTGATCCTTCTCTTGTTCTGATGAAACCTAATAAAACGATTCAACAGACAGTAGTAAGAACGCGGTGCGTTTTAGCAGATTGTTCATAAGATCATACACAGCACACCGTTGGCTACTTTTAGAGAAGTACTTGTCAATCACCTTGCTGGAACGTGAAGGCTCTAACACCAGGTATCGGACTCAAACAAAGAAATGTATCTCCTGCAAATATTAAGAAATATACCATCCCTTCTCGGGTCACAATAAGGCATTTCAAAACAGCAGATGCTTGTAACCTGATGAGAGGCACCAGTGACTTGACCAGACAGCTAAATGCTGAGATTACACTCTTTTAAAATTAATTAGGCAAATGCAGGAGAGCAGATTTCATAACACAAATGATAAGGCTATTGAAATTTCTCCCGCTAGCCAACTTCACCTACGAAAATGACACTATTCCCATGTGTTTTCTTACATAAAGTCTCTCCAGCGTAGCTATCTTAAAATTCAGTGATCACAGCGGAGATCATTCACACCCAGTTCTGCATTAAAGTGTGAAAATGATAGAAATGGCATACTAGGAATCCCTATTGTAGGCAGCAAATCACTGCCACAGCTTAACTAGGACACACATTTTTTTATTAACGGATTAAAATGAAGTTGTCAACATTCAGTAAGTGTGTGTGCCTGCTATTGCAAACATGGCTTTTATACGTTATCGTCAATGGGACCACAGCTCTTTCTGCTCCCCCATTAATAAAGCTTGTGTGCACAATTCACACTATTCATCCCATTATGTAGCCGGCTGAACTGTGACCCACAGAGGTCACCAGAGCGTCCCATATGCGATCCAGCTGACTGACAGCCCTTTTCAAAACTGCTGTCACTCTCCTCTGACATGTTGTGGTAGAAGACAGTCATAAAACGGCAGCATTGTGTGAGCCCTTTATTATTATTGTTTTCTTTCTTCGTTGTAAAGATAAGACGCATCGAGAAAGTTATTATCTAAACGCTGCTTTATGGTCTGCTGTAGGAGCGGGGGATCGGAGAAGGTCCTAACGAATCTAACCCTCTCAGAGATTTATTTCTTCACAGCTGCTTTTAAATATTCCTGTCTGTTTGGTTGGCCTATTAGTTACAGTGTCTGTTAGTCATCCTAACTTCTTCTTTTTAAACTCATAGCTGCCTTTTGCAGCCAAATACTATCGTTAGGTCCTTTACAAAGTACCATCGCTGGTCTCTTGAGCTTATAAAATTACAGGAAAATACCAGACAGATGAGCAAAGCAAGGAGGAGAAAAAAAGACAGAGAAATCATATTTAATAACTGTACATTCTGCTCTTTGTTTCTGTTAAGCAACATTCTGATTGAAGTTTCAGCTATTGTGAGGAAATGTGCAGTCTAAGGCTAATAGCATTTTGTCTGGTATCTCGTTACACTTACAATGTCATTGTGATGGCAGGAAAACAGTGAAGAGCACAAAAGCAAATGCAATCCTAATAAATTAAAGTTATATTCTGTCCCTGCATACTTATGGTGTATGAGTTGCATGTGCAACTGAGAGGACCCCACATTTGTAACTTGCTTAGGCTTTTGCAGCTCACAACTGCAGCCAGCTTCTAGGCCACAGGCAGAATGGTTTAAGTGGTGGCTTCACTGGGGCCATGCCCACACATCTATGTGTGTCGCTACAGAGGCTCCCTGTGAGCAACACACCACCACTGGCTGTGCCCGGGTGAGGACTGTGCCCAAACCTGGAGCCTGGCACGGAGCTCCTCTGCTGGGGGATGGTTGGTGCCAGAGGGACATGCAACCTCCTGCTTGGCTCCAGCAGACTTGGATTTCGCTCCGCCCAAAGGAGGTGGATGTCTCCTTTCTGCTGGTCCCGTTAAGGGCCACATCCTGGGCAGGAGCCCTCCCTGCAGCAGAGCACAGACGAGCTCTGCACCCACCCTGGGTGGGAGCATCTGCCCCTGCATGTCCCTTCACTGTTCAAGCTTCCTGTGACCACCTACCCGTACGGTGACTTGCATGAAGGCTGAGGTTCTTAATCACCCACCCTGATTAAACAGAGGCAGGACACGTCTTCCACCCCAGTCAGGGAGAAGACATTAATTCTGCTATAAAAGGTACCAAATTACAGTGGGAAACTGCCGTAATTGTACATTTTTATTGTCTTGTCAAGGCTCCCCACATTTCCGATAAGCGCAGCTTAAGAACTCTTCCTGCACACCACACAAAAATAACTGCAGTTTAAGCAGCAGGAAGTTTGAGATAGGGGACAACAAAAGCAAGGAAATTCAAAGTTAAGGCTGACGCTCTGCTGCTGACTTCTTATGTTGTGCTTAGCAGGGGCAGTACCAATAGTGGGTAACGGATCCTGCCAATCCAAGACCCCTCAATAATCAACCAGGCACGAAGGAATGACACGGGAAGGGAGCACACACCTTCACTTCACATCTCCTTGCTTTGGGAAATTTATGTTGCAACCTTCCAGTGACTGAAGCAGGTTTGTGTCCACTTTCCTCTCTACACATTTTTCATCAAAACTGGAGGGGTTTTACCCCAACAGGGTTCCCTGCTTTAAAATTACAGTGCAAGAGAAAACAGAAACACCCTCCCCTCTCTGTGAAGTGCTCTTACATTAGATATTAAAGGTACTGTTGGTCAAGGCAATTTAAAACACAAATTCTGGTTTGGATGGGAGAAGAAGTTGTCCCTGTAAGCACAACTTAAAGAGGTAGTCAGACATGAAAATCAAAATTTTCTGCTCTCAAAACTGGGTACACAAAGTCTCAGAGGCATCCATGTTTACTGGTCCTGCATTGTTTTTTTATGAAACAACGAGGAGGAGGATTGCTGGTAGCTGACTCAATACCAATTTCCAAACTGGTTTAGGAACAGGACTTATGTACCTGCCAGACGGCAAGGAAGTCAAAGGAGCAGCCGTAGTCTGCCGGGCACGGCATGTGTTTCGACATTCTTTAAATACTTACTTTCACTGCAATGCCTTGAAGGCTGCTGTGATCTGGCAGCTCGAGACAGGAAAAGCAGCGTGTTGTGTAGGGGTTGTGTGTGAGGAGCTGCACCGCCTCCCTCACACCGGGCACACGCGGGGCACAGCAGAGAGTGCGCGGGAAGTGCAAAGTAACGCCGGAGCAAAACCCCCCCTTCATTCTGGATCACTTAACAACATGTGAAACTACTTCTTACTTGCAGACAAAATACGAATTCTGCTGATCTATCTCTCTTTGGGCTGTGAACATAAAATCTGCTCCACAAGGGCTGTCCTGCAGGCAACGCAGCCCGACATGGAACCCGGGGCCTGCCCATATGTAGCAGGTGACAGACTAGGAACCCAGCTCTGCTGAAAGCCATCTGTGCCACGTGAGAGGGAAGTCGGGCTCAGTTAGGGCTTGGAAGCCGTTTCCCTCAAAATCTGACCTTTTAATCTGAAGAGAAATTCAGTATAACACAATAAAAAATCCTGCTTTTCGAAAGACATGCATACATCTGTGAGCACGGACGGGCTGCTCCAGAGGTTACCATTATAAAAATCAGCTGTGTCCAACAGTTACCACAGTTATTATCAACAGTATTAGAGGTTCCCGCACCCTATACTTAGGTTAGGAAATAGCTGTGGTAGTTGTGTGGTTTCCTTTTGGCAGCTGCTGATCTTTTAGTGGTGACCACTGTATAATACAATGAGCAGAAATGGTGCTTGCTCCATCCAGCGCGGCTGGTCCCGTGCCATCACGGCTGCGCAACACGGAGCTAACCGGTTCCTGGCTGCAGCCCGGCCAAATCCCAGCACAGACAGTCCCTCAATAACTGGATTTCCATTGCTGAGCCAACTCAAAGGCCAACTGGTTGGAATTCTCCTGTTCAAACTATGCATTTTATCTTTGGATTTCACATGATTAAAGCTGTACATTTTTAATTGAAAAGTTGAAAAGCAGGAAAGCAACCAACCTCAGATGCATCTTGGGGTTTCTGTGCATTATCTTTTTCCTTCTTGCTCTTTTGGTTTTCATTTTTGATGCGTTTTGTTCCAGACACTTTTGTTTTCGCTTCACCCTCCTGGGAACTGTTATCCTGTTTTCGAGGTTTCACTGGAGGCAGTGGCTTATCTTCCTCTCCTTTAATAAATCTTTC